CACGAGGTGCATAGGGCACTTCTGTGTGGCCACAGCAGTGGCAGAGGTGGAACAGAAATAGGTAAAGTTGGAGAGGGAATGTAGTGCATCACAAGCCCCAAGCGTGGCTCAGGAGTCTCAAGAACGAATAAATTGTACCATGGGCAAAAGAATTAATATACTACAAGGGAAAATGACACTGTCAAATTCACTTCAGATTTTTTTTGCAGTTTCTCATTATATACGTGACAGGAAAGGCCCCACAGAAACTTGAAAGAAGGCATAATTTGCAAAACCCTGAGTTATTTGACATCAGGGAGGGTAAATATTATGAAACATACTTTTCACTATGAATAATAGAAAATCAAGGTGAACATCAGCTTTGACAAGGATCACGCATTTTGGAAACTTGTCTTAAAGTTCTGCGATTTGCATAATGAGAATGTTGAGTTCTAATCCATAGGAAGAAGTAACTAGAGAAACCAGTGACGGTTGTTGTACTATCTTGATAGGTTATATAAGTGCCATAATGGTGTTGTTTCTAATTTGTGTGCAGAATTATATGGCTCTTGACATTTCATTCTGCCAATCAGATGCATGATACTTAGAAATACAATGGACTGACTGAACAGATGTGGGGCTTATGTCAAATTGTACAAACAATTAGGGTTCAGGTTCAATGGGCATGCTGTTAGCAAATGTAAGACAGTATGTACCTGAAGTACTAAGGTATTATTAGGTTTTTAAACTAACTGTAATACTCAGGGAAAAGTCCCAAGTAGGACAGTAAAAACATCAGCTTAATGCAGAGCAGAGATTTAGATAGAAAAGTAAACCAAGGATGTGGATGTGTAAAGTAAGCAGCAGAAAATAATACAGAAAATATACCATATCCCCACTTCCAACACGGTAGTCACTTCTGGTTAGCATTTCAAAATAACACAGCAGAAGGAGAAAGGAATACAGAGAAAGACAGCTAAAATGATTAGAAGCATATGGAAGGCCAGCATATGAAAGAAGATTTAAATGATTTAGACTGTGTAGCATGGAAAGGATGCTATTAAGAGGAAATGAAAGAATTTTGTAAAATAATGAACGATAAAGAGAAGGTGAACTGGATGCTTATAGTTACATTTTCTCAGTTGCACTGGGAAATAAAATGAATGTAATAGGCAACAAAGACATTTAATATTGGTAAAATAAAATATATTGTTAGCTTGTGTGCAGGATATCAATGAAGCCAAAGGCCAGGTACAGACATTACACTTTTACTGGTATAAGTGATCAGAAATCAATCTATATCCATAACAGAACAGAAATTCAGGGCACAGAGACTTTGTAAAAAATGATGGAACCTGGTCTAAGGCTTGCCCCCCACCAAGGGGTGTGTTCTGTCCATTGCTGAGCTAACCTATGCCGCTTACAGAAAACTGTGTAACTTAGATTGATTCTGCCTTGGGCTTTTTAAATGTTTGCACCTGGCCAAGAAGGATTAGTTATTTACATGGAGAATGGGAATGTCCAGTATGACATTAAATTGGATTTAAACTACAGGAGAGAGAAACCATTATGCTTTGGGGTTGAAGTCAGCCATGAACTGAAGACAGCTAGGACAAAAGGTCTCCTCTGGGTAAAGTTATTCTATAATTATTCATTATAGTGACTCTTACATTTTCCTGAGAAACAGTTGGTCCTGGCCAGTGCAGGAGATAATGGAATAGATGTCTTGTTAGTCTGATACCTGCCTTGCTCCTGTGTTCATACAAGTCAATAAAAGCTACCAGAGATCATCAGCAGGTCTAAACATTAGGCTAAAGCATCCATAGTACAAACAGCCTTACCTTAATGATTCTGTATGTCTTTTAACCAATCTGTAAGATGATATTATTATGTATTGCTTCCTCTACACTAGACTGTTGTAGGGTTATTTTTACTATGGTTTATAGAAGCACTTTGGCTTCAATTAAGCATGGTATTTAACAACATGGTTAAACTTAAACAGTTGATGGCTATGGAACTACACTTCTCCTTCAGGTTAATCATGTGCTGAATTAAGGCTCTAATGCACTTAGAATGTAGTTGCAAAGCAGACTCAGTAGATTAGTGACTCAGTGGATATAAAATGACAATGACTGTTTTTCCTTTTAGGTGACCACTGAGCAAATGGACACAGACAGGGTATATATTCCTGCTTTGCCTGATGTTGATCAAATAGTTGTTATGAATAGGTCCAAAACAAGCCTCTGGAATTTATTGCAGGGATTCTGTCTTATTAGAGCCCTTGGAACCGAACCTGTGTCTAATTTTGGTGGTGGGTCAGACAGTTCAGAACTAGAAGGAAGATTCTTTCTAAGTTCTAGTCTGGAGGCAACTGACATCATTTACTGTGCCTTTCATTTCCAGTCTAGCTTTAAAGACAAGGCTGTGAACTCTCTGTGTTACA